TTTAACTTGGCCAAGAGTGTGAAAGAGTAGCAAGATTTCTGATGAAACCAAAACAAGTTGTGAAGAATACCTGCACACTGTCCAAATGTTTTGTAATGTTGCTTTATTGAAATGCTGCGTGCTACTCGGTGACCCAACATTTGATTGGTGCATTAGCGGGGTTCATATAAATACTTATAATTAATGAACCTGTTGGAGTGTGTACACATTTGAGGCAGTGTTCTTTTCAGTGACCAACAGAGGACAATGCCTCTACCTTATTGATACAATTAGCTGTTAGCAAACTTTGTTGGCAAACCATCAATCCATTACCACTAGTATTACTTGTATTTATTCCCTAATGAATCCAGACAAGCCAACAGCTTTTGGGGACACAGGGAACAACAGGCAGGGCTTATGGCGATACAGAAACTCATAAGCAGCGTCATGAGACTGACACCAGACCACGTACCGGTACATGTATCAACTCAACACCCGAAAACTAGACACAGAAGCATTAGGGCGATGGTTTGAGTTTCTGAACTCCACTGCAAGGGAAAAATCACATCATATTGGACCATGCTCTGTCAGTTTGTTGCTTAATACACGACAAACAATCCGCCCTGACCATCTTATACTATAAATGGCATATGACACCTTTAAAGCTTAATCTCATGTAACACTGTATGCGATCAAACATGTACACTGTCCAACAGCTCCTTCTTTGATTATGTAACTTTTTTCCTCCAATGAAAATGTCAGTTAAGGAGCTACATCGCACTTAAATATATCTCCAATCTTTATGGAAGATGCTGTGCTGCCCTCAAACGAAGGAGTATGACTCTCCCGTTAATCATAAATAATTCAAACAGACTTCTTTTCTGCACAGTATATCTTTAGTTATGTGGTTCTTTCCCCATAATAGTACCATCTTAGATGATATACAACCAAAAACAAAAAAGCCAAAAAGTCATATTTATAATATTTAATATACACATAAACAGCATTTTTTTCAGGGAAATAATTATATATATTGCTAGCACAAGAAAGTGAACAAAAAATAATAACAGGGAGTTTCACACACATACAGGATAATAAGACTTTTTGTGTTTTTTTTTATACATGCAACAACAATTACTTTTTTCCATCTTTCTACAGGTTTTTATTTGTTTCAAAGACCTTTCAAATGATGCAAATAATGGACCGGTTCAAATGTGAGAGAAGGCTGGTGAGAGAAAACCAAATGTACCAGTGAGATTCTATTGTTACGGTCTGTCTAATTCAAGTGTTTCCTTGAGAGAATATTTTCTGCTTTTTGAAACAGGGATAATTCAATGTTCACAATGAAACACATCACTGTCTTAGGTTGACAGGCTTGATGCTCTGAAAGGCCATCAAATCAAGTCAAGTCATCAACTATATCCACTCCGTTCACAAGTACCCCCCTCACCGGCAAAGAAAGTACAGTTGGGGGTGACCGACCGACGCCATCTTGCCTGACTGCAATTTTGCCGCGACGCGCGGCCGTACCACTAGCACTGCGTGTACATAGTACAAATCCCCTGGTATACGTGCGTCACACACAAGGAACGGTGCGCGTCAACCAGCTAAATGTCCCGCCCATGTGACGTAAGTTGCTAGGTAAAAGGGCGCCCTCTTTCGTGGGCGCCCTCTTTCGTTGGCGAATGGAGCCCATAGCAAGGCATTGCAATCCAGATGGATCCAACTTGAACATCTCCAACCTCATCCCTTCCCCCCCCCCCCCCCAGAAAACTGAACATAAGGTTGCCGACCCTAAACTTGTTGACAGTGAAAACTTGCAATGGCTGACATTTTCCCACGAGCCCCTTTGGATTTCTGTGCTTGATTAAGGCCCATCCATCCAGCAGGTCAGGTTGCTGGCCAGCTTAAGTCAAGTTAGGATATAATATGTAACCATATGCCGTGCATTCCATCATGTACACTGCCAGCCACATAGCTACATCCAGAAATGCAATAGGATAGAAAATATCACCACATGGATAGATTTGATGTATGTGGCAGCTGTCTCTCTGTCAGCATGCATGGACCTTTTTTAAATCCACCAGGAAATTGTGGTTATTCCTTTAAAGGGACAGCGCCTGACTCCGACTCAACTTGAGAAGAATTAAAAAAAAAAAAAAAATTATCTCAGATAATGTAGAAAGTGACTTCATTATGTGGCATCTTCATCAGGTACAAGGGAACATCACATGTGCAAAGGTCAACCATGCAACTTTTAGAAAACTCACAGAGTGGGGATAGGGCTCTCTGGCATCACTGGGTTTTCCTTTAAAACACTGGGATCAAACAGAGGCCACAATGCATCCAGGGGCTTGGCTTGACTGTAAGAACTGCCGGAGAAATGTTGGCGCAGGATCAACTTTGGGCCTGGATTTCATGCCCCCTCGGAGGGCTCAGTATTCAACTTTGGGGTCTATCTGAGAATCGTCTGGGGTGAAGGCTTTGTGTATTGGTTCTGAGCCAAGCATGACATGCTTCAGACTCATCTATTTTGGCATTAATGAGGATGAGCAATTCATGTGTCATTCACTAACATTCACCTTTTGAGGTGGGAAGGAAAAGAAAAATGAATGGAAATTTTATCTTTGAGTATTTTTTTTATTTTTTACCTGATTTGTGTGATCTTGTTATCCTTTACGACTGAGGACTTGGGACAATGGGGGATTTGCAATAACATTAACCCGGAGGATCTGAGCCAAGTCCTCTGGAAGTTTTCGTGTACAAACATTATGGGAGATGTTGTGAAAGTACAAACAATAGGAACAAAAGAAGGGAACAATAGGAGGTTCTCATGAGTATATAATAACATGACTGTATGTGTGTATGCACATTCAAATCATGAACCTTGAACAACAGAGGACAAAAGGGTCCACGATAGACCGGAGGTCCATGTTTGATGTGCGTGTACAAAACATATGGGAGGTCTTCCTTAGTATAAACAAAAGAGGGATAATTGGGGGTCCAATATTGAAGGTGTTAAAAATGTCATGTGGGGGTGAGTTTGTCTTACATTCACTATGTGGACTTGTGAACAAAAGATGTCCACATAATGCAGGTTGTGTTGACATTATGTGGACTAAGCCGTGTCCACATAACGTTTCGCCCTCTCTGGAAAACAGGTTTAGAGGCATTTTTGGGTTAAGTTTATCCGTGGCAAAATGAAGAGAAACACTTAAGGGAATCAAAGAGAAAAAAAATGGGTTGAAAGAGTTTTCACAGTTAAAGTAAAGTTATTTTTTGTACTGAGTTTTCTTAACTACACGAAAACAAAGGAATGTCCACATAGCGTACATGTATGTAAAACAAACATGGGTGTGTGAGTCTGTCTGTTTTGAAAATTGAAATTGTGGTTTCTATTGGCTTGGTATGGACATGAGACATGTGAAGATCACAAAAAGGTGCAGTTGTCTCACATGAAAGTAAAATTGCAATGAGGGCCATGAGTTTGCTTGTCAAGAAAAAATTGTGAAAAACAAGATGAGGACAAGATACCAGTTGGCTAACCGACTACATTGAACACACAAAAGTCGCCAGACAATTTGCTATGAACCCCTGGATAAGTTCACTCTTTATACACCGAGGGACTTGAGCATGGCATTCAAGCCTGACCAACTCCAACAATATGCCCAAGATCCCAGTGCACTGAATGTTTCACATGACTAATACTCAGGCGCTGACCTTGGAAATTTCCTTCCTAGCAATGTAATCCTGAGCACAGGCACGTACTCTGGATCGATCTCTACCAGTACCATGCCTGACTGTACCATACACATAGTACATTGTCTTTCACCCTCCAAGTCAAAGGCAACTCCACTAAAAGGGATCATTTATGGCATGCATGTGCCTTAGTGTTTTTTGTTGTTTTTTCCCTCTTTGGGGAGGGGGAGGCCTTGCCAAGAGTAACACCACATCTTACATTGGGCCTCCACCCCCTTGATAGTTACTGTGATACGACTGGATTAAAGGGGTCATGACATGTATTTTACAAAAATTCATATTATGCACAAACATACATGCCTTTGAACCAAATATAATATTTTTTTCTTTTAATATCTTTCCATTGCACCTTTTTTTTCACTATTCCCAAGTCCACAATATTATTAATTCCACCTGAGAGCGCTGTTGTTGTTGCGATGTCACTTTCGGCGCAAACTCCAGAGTGTCAGGATTTCCTGTACGCGTACATGTTAAGCCCAAACAATCAAACACCGGAACTTTCTGGCAACTTTTGATGTGGGTGCAGCTGAACATTGAATGCCTTACAATAACATTGTGGGCTAGCTCACAGACGTGGAAAAGTCACATGAGCACCCGAACAAAAAGATTCTGAAATGGCATTACAAATGGCAACGACTGACAAGTCATTGAAATGAGATACCAAGGTTTTTTTAAAAGGATTTCATTTACGTGCAAGAAAGGTCAATGGCAACAATCTGCGTACACGTCGTACACATGCACATTATGAACATCGTGGATGGAGCATGACCACGTACGATGGCAGTCCAGGAGGTCAGACGTTCTAAAGTCAACTGAACTATTCATAAACATACATGTATTCATGTAAGTTTAATCTGCCTGGGAAAACCAAACGTTCAATGATTTTAAAATCACTTCAGAGTAATTTAAAGATACCGGTATAGTCCATCATTTGAAATTTGTGCATTTTGTTCGTTTGAAGCAACAAAAGTGTTCAAAATCTAATGAAGGATACTGAACAACTAACCTGATGAAGTTTTAGCCCAGCTTCAGCTGTATATTCAGAGAAAAACAGCATTCTAGGATCTCAATTTCAAATCAAAAGTTGCTGAATCATGTTTTGAATTGTTTTGAATTGCAGCTATATGCGAATTATAACAACCGCGCGCGCCTGTGCCAATGCTTGCGCGCGCTGCGCCGAATAACAAAACGAACTACTAATTTAAATTTTCCTACGGTGCGTCTTAAGACGCACCGTTGGAAAGGCCTTCTTTCGTTGATTACTTCAAAATGATAGCTTGCCAGAAAGATTAATTTCACAGGGAGTTTAGTCCCCTTACTATCTTTCAGCCAAGTATGTTTTTCAACAATGATACGCCATTTACTTTTTCGGACGGCTGCAAATGATGGACTATAGCTTTAAAGGCATTGTATAAATGAGCTGATATTGTCACAATGTTGTTTGTTGTGACAACCATGCCAAATCACTTCAGTAATTTATGCATTTGTTCAGGAGACAATTACATTTTCATTTTACAAATAACTGAAGCATGAATCACTTTTAAAATAGGAAGCCTTAATTATTTTTGGACACACAAATGGTTGGACATACATGTTGTAGTCCAGTCCATCACAAGTCCCCACAAGTCCCCACAAGTCCCCGCAAGTCCCCGCAAGTCCCCACAAGTCCTTCAGTCTCAAGTCAAGTAACTAGCTATTCAAATGAACTGTTACAAAAGCATCCCTTTGGCACTGTTCATCCCACTTCTAGTGACTGGACTTATGAAAGGACTTGACTTCAACATTGGTAAATGCAACAAGCTAACATACAATAAATGTATAATTTATAGCTGTAGGTTTCCCTTGCAAATCTAGATCTTTTGAGCATTGTAGACTGTGTCAATTGGCATTGCATGTAGTTGGCTTACCGATGTGGGGTTGGAAATTATTGTGTGACCTCTGTCCAGCTTTCACTGATTGCTCTTAAGACTGGAAAAAAAAACCTTCTCTGGATTTTCACTTTAGACATAAAAAAGTGAAACTTGCATGACATTAAAAGTCTGGATGGTTGGAGAACAGCCATCCCTTCTCATTTGAAATGCCAACCATTCGGTTTTACATGTGCTTGGCGGTTGCATGTGGGAAGTTACAGACATCGGATTGTAAAGATGGACTTTTTGGCTTAGACGCAAGAAGGTAAACCCAGACCATTTGTACAGGATGATATACTCTCAACAATATGCACTTCAAAAACGAACGTGTGAATGATGAAAGATCCTCAGCACGATGTTATCACATGATCGATAACCAGTACAAATCATTGTGCACTTGCTATAACTCTGTGAAGGTCAAATATGAATGAGAGAGCTTTAACCCTAACCCCTTGGGCTCTTTTACTAGAAAGTATCCTGAATCCACCAAAATCCATCAACTTTGCCATGCAAAATGATGTTGGTGGCCAGTGAGTCCATCAAAATCCACCAGTTAAGCGGAAGTAAATCTGTTGAGATCCTGAATCAACCAAAGTCCCCCAATGGCTCAAAATCCTGCAGTTCCGCTAGGCTTACAATCCTGAATCCATCAAAATCCACCAGTTTGTGCAATATGGAGGTATCTTGAATCCACCGAAATCCCCCCGAAACAGGGGTGTGGATTTTGATGGATTCAGGTACGTTAGGGTTAATATCAACCTCTACAAATGGTTTTTGTTTGTTGGTCTGGTTACAAGTGAAAGTGAATTTTAGAAACATCACATACACTAATTTCTCTCACCATCCTTCTCTCTTGATTGTTATCACAATGTCAATAAGTGGAGCCTACTCTTCATGATTATTATATACTTTATGAATAGCTTATACCATTGGGCCATGGGCACCTTTGTAAGTTATATGTAATAAGGCTGCATATGGATATTCCTAGCATTTCTGTAGTGCTCAGGGTTTCTACTCAGAGTGGTGGTGACTTTCAGCCGTGTCATGCGATATGGATGTCAGTGGATTCACACCTTCTACTCAGTGATTCCTCCTTTCTCCCTTGAGGAGGCGAGAGTGTTGGTGAGTGCCTACTACTTGGCTGGGCTTCTTGTGGCAGCGTTGAGGGCATCGTGGCAGCATCGTGTGACCGGTGAGGCAGAGGCCACGTATCCACCGCCGGTCGCTGTACACTGGGTTCACTTAGAGCCGCCACTAGGTGGCTATGGCTCCTATCACACACATTAATGACCTCCGACGAAGGTCTACTAGGTTGCTGTTGCTGCTGCTGCTTCTTAACAACCGCAAGATATGGGGGAGGTCCTTCCGAATCGGGATCTAATAGCTTGAGCGGTGTCTTGGTCTCACTATCTAGCACTTGTAATCCAGGCTTGCCCTTTGGGGAGCCGGCACGATTCAGTGAGTCTGTTCGATGAACAGTACCTTTTTTGGAGTCCTTTTTCGGTGGCGCTTGCTGCTGCTGCTGCTTCATACTGAGACTGCTCTCAATGCTGTCAAAGACCGTCCGATTAGGCGGGGCGCGAATCCCTGACCGACACACATCCTCGTTGAAGAGTCTTAGGCTGCGCATGAAAGGGTGGGCTTCCTCATCGTAATGCACCACCGTGGAAGGATAGTCCTCAGTTGACTCGCTGCGACGGCAAACAGTCTCTCGCTGTTGACGCAGCATCTCTTGCTGTTCCTCGCTGGAAAAAGGCCTGCCTGGTATGAGCGGCAGTTCACTTGTCTGGTGCAAAGAAAATAGGAGAATAATCAGAAAAGAGTATTGTTTGACCACACTAGACCCTTGGGAATCCAACAATATCCAACTGGTGGTAATAAATGATGGATTGAGTGGTAGACAAAAGAGTTTGGTTGTACCTGTTGGATTCTGATGGCTACAGCAGGCTTCTCACTTTGCGTAGTTTGATAGTGTTGGTTTTGGCATGGTACCGGTTATGAGCAAAATACTTGCTATATGGTTAGAGTTGAACTGGAAATTCTATAAGTGAGTATTACAGCAGCTCAACACAGGCCTGACAAGTGACAACACATTTCTCACTTTACACGTCTGTCAAGCTCAAGCTAGGCAAAGTCAACTTCTCAGCGTCATTTTCATTGATAATTTCATCATAATGTAAACCCAACCTGGTCAAAAAGTTGATAAATCAATACATACCATAAAGGAATGGCCACAGTATATATTCACTATTTGATACGCTATTTACTTCCTCAAATGAGAGATCACGTTGTTCCTGATACTCTGTGTATAATGAATGCCGTAGACTATTTACCATTTCCTTTTTGTTTTGCAATGATGTTGTTTCACTTTGGTTTGTTCCTTTTGGATTTGGTTTTGGACTTTCCTTTTCTCTTTCCTTTCATAAGCATTCTGGAAAGGCTTTCAGTCTCCCTCAAATAAAAGTTAATTCAACAAGTTGAAAAGATCAATTCCTGAATGACCAAAATATTCTAAGCATGAGATGAATGGACTTAATCTGAACTTTTGAAATGCTCAGCTTTTAATTAGCCTAGCTGAGAATGCAAGAGCATTGAGTATCTGGTGGATGAGGACCAGGAAAGGGGTATCTGAATTGGTTTACAATTGCAACAATACCATTTAATGAATCATATGGGCTTCAATTCCGTTGGAAAGATGCTGCATTTGAAAATAATGCTTTGAATGTTTGGATATTGTTAACTAGGAGTCTGCGTCAACAGCATAGAGCTATATTAAATTACTAGAGCGTTAACTCGATGTACAAAGTAATGCCTGATGGGCACATCCATGTCTGTGCACAAGCCTATGGAAAACTCGAAATTTTGTACGGCTTTTGTAAGGCTATTTGCATATCTGCGTTTGTATTCCATACCGGTGCGCCATCGAAGCCGATACGCCCAAAACCGAAACGCACGATCATTTTGCTCTACGCAAACAGCGCAACGTGTGCGCGTCCCTCCGCTGCAGATGCTTTTCGCCGTGACGTTTTTTGAACCGTCATGACGCACTTAAGTTGTTTGCGTATCTTCTACTTGTGCGTTGCATTTACAATGTAGAGTACACTTTTACAATTCAATCCATCTATTTTGATTGTGTTCTACAAACATGCACATAAATTCAAAATGTCTGCGCCCAGAGCGGCTTCAAAGCGTCTCCGCGCGCAAGAATGAGGAGTTAGCGCTCTAGTAATTTAATACAGCTCTATGGTTAACACGTACATTAAAACCAGGTACCGGTACCCAAGGAACCATGAATACAACAAAGAACAACAACCAGGAGCTAGACATGTTATGCGTGTTTGAGTTACAAACAGAGTGTGATCGGGCAGACAACTATTCCATTGAACACTGCTCAAGTAACTTGTGAATGGTTTTATTTCATAACAAAACAAAAAAAAAGAATCATGAAATTTGGCCTTTTCTAGTGGATCCATTTGGTTAATTTGAAAAAAGAAAAGAAAAAAGAGTGTCCCTTGGGTTTTGACCAATTTCAGTATACATTTTATTTACACGTACACATTACTCCTGGTTAGATGACGTCATCGGTTAAAAATTTACAAACATATTGATTTAGTCCAGAGAGGATAAATATCATGAGGTGATATTTACAATAAATGTAATACGTGTAAGTGTGTGTGTTCTTAACACGCCTAACTTCCGGTTTGAAGACGTCACAGCATTAGGGAGCCCAAGGCCAACATTGTACCCGATATCATTATCTGTGCCATGAACATCGCCACTGAAAATGGATTAAATGATAAATTTGATCCAAAAAAAGAAGAAAATTTACGTTTCAAATTCACCCTATTATACATGTAACTTCCGGTTTGATGGCATCACAAGCCTGAAACCTCGCAAAGTTGTTTGCGGTTGTCCAAAGAATGTCTACGTGCAATTTATTAAAATTTTACAATGGTTTCAAAATTTTAAACAGTTCAACTGTCTTTGACGTGCCGCTAGGGGGCGCCCTATCCGGGGTGCCGTTGGCAATGTCTAAATGATCACACAACAAAAAAATGAGAACGCTACTCCATTCATGTGAAAAGTTATAGTTGAAGGTAATTTTTAAAATTTGACCTTAATCGCTGGTAATTTGATACCTAATATGATGTCATGATGATGTCACAAAATTTATAACATCTTCAGATTAGGGTCCAAGCTCGTATAAAATTTTATTATCACCACGTCAACCATTCGGAAGAAATCTTGACTTGTGCTGATTTGAGGCTATTTCTATTTTTGGAATTTACCTAATTGTGATGTTTATCAACTAATGATCTATCTGATTACACAATACAAACCTCATGGATTGTTTTGTTCAAGAGTTGGAAGTGAAAGAAATTGGCCACTTTTTCGACTAAAATCGCTTGTAATTTGATACGCGATGACGTCATCCCAACATCACAGTAATACGCACACCTCTTGATCAGGGATGTTGTTGGCTCAAAGTACCAAGTTTATACCATTTTCCATTGAGAAAAAAAGCCGCGGAGAATTGTTGTCCAGAAAAAAAAAAAAAAAAGAAAGACGGAAAGAAGATTTATTCAAACAACTCTAAAACGGTGATTGGCTTGTCCCCGATCACCCATTCATGTATTTGTCACCATATGATTTCTTTGCAAGCTGCACTGTGCAACACCATGCTCTACAACTCCTCAGTTCAGCGCATTTTTATTGTGAATTCGATATCAATATAAGCTGTCCCCTTATCACGTATACATACTGAAACATGTGACATAATCTAAAATAAAGCTGGGTAAGTCATTTATGATGTTAGTAACAGTCACTAATGTTTTTCTATGAAGTTGGTTGATCGGCCATCACTCAGCTCCGGATCATATCAGTCTTCATGATAGCAGCTGAATGGTATGGCTGGGTAGGCCAGGCGAACATTGCAAGCTTTGGCATGGTGCCAGGACTCTAGTAGCTTGCAGGTGTGAGCACAAAACTGTCTATAGATGTTCAGCCTCCCTTTTGTAGTATTATTGCCCATGCTGGCTGCATGTACTTGTTGTTGGCAAAGTTCCATTTCAAATTAGGTTTTGCCCTTCACCGACGATGTATAAACACTGTATACTCAGTGTGTTACCTCCCGAGTGAAAGGTTGGAAAAAAGTTCCATTTTACAAGCAGGAAAATGTAAGAGAAATTGATACCAAGTCTTTGTATTAAAACTGACTTATCGAAGAAAAAAGTTCTAAAAAGGATTTCTCAAAAATTGTTCCAGATGAAAGTCATTATAGTTAACCAGCAATAAAGGATTTTTTTTCCCTGGAGCTAGTCTCTCCAGTTTGTCAACCTCACAGGCAAAATGTATCATCAAATATCACTGTAAAATAACAATTAACAAATTGCTGACTTTTACAGATCATTTACTTTGCGTGTTTTGGGCCCAGGAAAATCAAACTCATTGAGTCTTAAAACAAGATATGTTTGCGGTAGCACCATGTGAATAAATCTCTTTTGTGAGTACGGTATGTGTGGTTCTGAAAAGAACCGGAGGGACTCGATGTTTCGAACAGTATGCTCTGCCCGTCGTCAGGAGAATGAGGGGTCCAACGATGATGCGATGTTATAAGGATGGGTGCGGTGAGGCGTGAGAAGGATGCAAACTGGTGAAGCTCAAAACTGGTGAACCTGAGAAGGATGCAAGTTGACTGAGGGATGCTGGATGATCACTGGAGCGTGTCAGTACACAGTGAGGGAGCAAAGGGGAAGGTGCTCAGGGTATCTTATAGGTGACCCATAGGCGAGAACTGAACCTAAGTTGTCCTAGGGTATAGGAGACCCATTGGACTTGGACTTGAGGATGATGCCCCAGATGTCGCTGATGTAGAAACTGATGTCTTGGGGACATCTAAAAGAAACGTCGAGTCCCTCCAGTTCTTTTCAGAACCACACATACTCACAAAAGAGATTTATTTACCATGAACAGCCATCCCTCAACATTTACTCACTAACAAGAGAGCAGCATTGGTAGACTTACTGGTGGTGTGGTATCTGAAGGGGTCGACATTGAGAGTCTTTGTGATCTGTGATGAAATGGAGGCATCGGGAGATCGTTGCGTTGGCGTATGTACATAATTAAACAGCATAGCAGGCAGACAAGCGTGATCGGCGCTAAGATGGCTAAAAAAAACAGATGAAGGCTGCTGTTGTTTTCTTGGCTTTTGTTGTCATCTGTAGAGGAATAAACAAACCAAACATTACAATAGTGCTAACTTACCGAGTCATTTCATGCCAAATCCTATGGATGTTGTCAGGTGACCAACTCACATTTTGGATGAGATAGATATAAAAACTCAACACTGCACTACCGAAAAGTGGTACATGTGTAAGGCCTTTTCACACTGTCGCCACCCTACCTGTGTTAAAGTCAACACCTTAGTAAAATCCGGTTCCATAGAACATGTGTAGGCAAAACATACCATTCACACGTACACTGGGTTCAATGTACATGAGTCTGCAGTACAGGGTGAGTAAAAAAAAAAGAAACCCAAATGTTGGGACCATTGTTTTAGGGAAGTTCTTCATGTAGTATTTTCAAAAGCTTTCTTTTAGTACAAGAATCATTCAAATCACCCATGTACTTTTCAAGTTACGGAATTTTAAACACAACCACTGTTTTAAGGTTTTATCCACGATCACAAAAATGTTCAGTGTTCTTTCAGCACAACGAAAAGAAATCACATATGGATGTGTGTGAATTGTTTTCGTTTTGCTGAAAGGACGCACACCTTTTTTGTGATCCACAGACAGAACCTTAAAACGGCAGTTGTGTTTAAAATTCCCTAACTTGAAAAGTACATCAGTGATTTGAATGATTATTGTCCTAAAAGAAAGCTAAATGAATTGGGCTTTCATATCCTAGATTTTGAAAGTGCTACATGCAGAACTTCAATAAACCAATAGTCCCGACATTTGGGTTTCATTTTTTTTACTCGACCTGTAGATTTACAATGTAGGATTGTCTCCCTGGGTACAGCTTCTCAACCCTGGGCCCAAACAGGGTAGATTTTTCCCTGTGTAGAGCCTGAGCGCTGGACCCGCATAGAACTACAAGCCGTATTGGATTCTTGCTGGCATGAAGGGGGTTCCTAAAATACTAAGTGGCTTAGCTGTTTTCATGCCATTTTTAAGTGACAGTTGGCCCAACCAACCCAGCTAAAAACACTTGAGGTACCTGAATATGGATATGGGAAATTCCACGGTTACTCACGTTACATTTTTGATGTACTTTTGAGTTTCCTTGGGCTGTAATATTACCTTACAGAAAAGGTTTAATAACTGTTATCCTCATGGTAGATTGAGTAGACCTAGACCTACCTAAGCACCACAGATGACATCCAGAAAAATGTGCTATGTATGATAAACAAGACGCACAAAATCGGTTACTCACGTTACGAAAATGTAACGTGAGTAATTGTGGAATTGCCCCTTTGCATTCAAAGGCCGACATGTATATTGTAACTTGTGTACAAAACCACTAAGCACACAGCGCATTTAACCAACAGTTACATGTATGAAAAGGATGTTGAATGCCACTCCAGAGCAATTGACTTGTCTGCCAAACCCAATTAATGGCAACCAAATTATCTGTGACACGTATCCTGGATAAAATGTTTGGATACAGTAACATATGGCTGGAGCATTATTGTTTGTTGAAAGGATTAGCAAGAACATGAATAGCACTCTATGATAAGCACACACGTACCATGCTCTGGCATGATACAATTTATGTTCTTTGGCAATCAGGCAGCTGCTCCATATTTGCACAAACTTCATGGCTATTCACACAGAATAAGGAGTTTTAATGTAAACCGCTATTTAATGAATAATCATACATGTACATTGATTATTTTGGGGGAATGACATTAAAGACATAGTCCATCATTTGTAATTTGTGCATTTTGTTTGTTTGAAGCAACAAAAGTGTTCAAAATCTAATGAAGGATACTGAACAACTAACCTGATGAAGTTTCAGCTTAGCTTCAGCTGTATATTCTGAGAAAAACAGCATTCTAGGATCTCAATTTCAAATGAAAAGTTATTGAATCATGTTTTGAATTGTTTTGAATTGCAGCTACACGCGACGTCGCGCACTGATCCGACGAATTATAGCAACCGCGCACGCCTGTGCGTCGTACCAATGCTTGCGCGCGCTTCGCCGAACAACAAAACGAACTACTAATTTAAATTTTCCTACAGTGCGTCTTAAGACGTACCGTTGGAAAGGCCTTCTTTCGTTGATTACTTCAGAATGACAGCTTCCCAGAAAGAATAATTTCACAGGGAGTTTAGTCCCCTTACTATCTTTCAACCAAGTTTGTTTTTCAACAATAATTACGCCAGTTACTTTTCGGATGGCTGCAAATGATGGACTATAGCTTTAATGTCTTATGCCGGAGGGCAGACATGGCAGTTGCAAGCTGTTGCAAACGAAAGTAAACAATTTTTGTAATACAATGCTGTTGAATTTTTTATAAGTAGCCAATTCATCAATGTGAAGCACATGTACTATCACACGTACACATCATATTGCTTACTTCAGAAAAATAAATGCATTCAGCTCCCAGTAGAAGCATTTTTGCCAGCATAGTAGACTTAATAAATAAACTCTTGTGCACACTGTACCAACGGAACTGGACACACGTTTGGTATAAAAAAAACTGACAAAACAACACCACTTTCTGGTTCCTGTTTTTCAAGTGTGCATTATCAAGAGAATGTCCAGAATTTTTAGTGAGAAAGTACAAAATGTCAGCTAAAACAGTTAGTCACAATTTCATTATAAAGGAACTTTTTTTTAAACTAAACTTTTAACAATCAGTCTTAGGCCAAAAAAAAAAGTCTCCGGTTTCTGGTATGGAGCTTGCCCAAAAAGTGGTGCGGCGATGCGCCTTTTTTTTTTTTTTTACCTGATTTGTTTGCTTCAAATGTCGACTGATGACTGCAAATGGTGCCCGACTAAACTTAGTGCAAATATATGGGAGTCCGGAGAGGCCACATAAAGCTTATTCTCGACCATAACCCAATCTAAAAACACGTTAAAATTGTGCAGCAGCAGGATTCCAGTCAAACCAGTGAGTTTGGCGGTTTTGAGACATCATCTTTCATTGAAAAAAAAACCTTTTTCATTTTGCCGACGCGCATGGCTACGGCGACGCGCGCGCATACCAGAAACCGGAGACTTTTTTTTTTTGGCCTTAACTGTTACAGTTGGTAAACAAAAAACAAACTAACAATTTGGATATCTTAGCAGTTTGTACAAGTTTGCTAACTTACTGGATGACAAATTCACAGAAATGCACCCGATTTCATGAAACTCATCGTACGCGTCCTATCCCTTACGATGCGTCGCAGCTGCGCGTCCTGCGATCCATTTCACAAACACGTCGTAAGTGCTACGCGTCGTAGGTGTATCTATAGCACAACTCGGTGACTGTTTTATCATTTAGTCAGCATACAGAGTCGTCAGATCCCCTCTCAAAATGTTGTAAAACAAAATGGCGGACGTGTGATGCAATTTTAAAGGAAAACAAGCTCTCAGTGGCCTGTATAGCTACTTAAAAAATTCAACTAAAATATTCCGGGCTAATTCAAAATTATTTAATGCATTTCCCATTTACAACTTTACACACATTGTCTCGGTATTATAGTCTCGTTTATGTATTTTTATGGCATAAAACTGTCTAGGAAAAGGACGCTTCTTATTTTGCGATGACCACTAGGCACGTTGTAACTTGCGACGTGTTTTAAGCCGTTGTCAATGAACTTACGACGCGTTCAACACATCGCAAGTTTCCTGAAATGGATCATACGACGCGTCGCGAGTTGCGACGTGTTACAATCGTAACTCCAGTTGTGACGTGTTGCAGCGCTTCGTGAAATCGGGTGCTGATCCAGTAAATGCGAACAAGGAATTTCTGAACTTGCACATCAAAGTTGTGACATCACAAAAAAACAAAACTGAAAAGAGATTGTTTCAAGATTTAAAACACCCTTAACTAATATGGCATGATAAAAAAGTGGAGGCCTTGCACTCAAATATTTTTTTTTCTAAATTCAAAGCTACATGTATTACACTGTACATTCCCAAGTTGAAGTTCTAGTTTGCCTTTTTAAATACCATTTGAGAGGAATCCTGCCATACAGCCTGATTGGCCCATCGGACAACTACCGGTAAACCTCTGTCAAAAAAACTGTTTACATACACACAAACCATCAAGTAGAACTAGAAATCGTTTTTCCAGTGTGCATGTAATGACAACTTAAATGCCTACCCGAGATGCAAGTATCTACTTATACCTTCAAAATTGACTGTTTCCCAGTTGTGTGACTCTGCCAATGTTCATAACAGACTTGAACAGTTCACAGGTCACAGACGTGCACATGTTAAACTTCCACCTTGATATGCATTTGCAAACCAGTGCACTGGCAAGGTACTGGTATACAGTGTGCACTGCATGCAGGGAGCCTTTGAAATTGAAAAAGCTGTGATTTATCCCATAGCCATTTCCTTACATGTACAATTTCAGCAGTCAACAATTTTGTTGGGCACATGATATTTATTCAGCTACATCATGTACTTCTGTGTTAAAATCTGATACAAAATTACACAAAGATAAACACACATGAAACAGGAGTCAGGAAGTGTTGATCCAGAGAACAGAGAGGCACAGTACATGTACATGTATCAATGACAACTGTGTCTATCACATTATCTCGCCTTTGGAATTTGTCAGAATTCCTACATGTTGTTACACACAACACATGCCAAACCTGATCTTGGCACTGTCGGTACTAAACACATGAACGATGCGTGTGCATGATATCACAACATTGCAGACATCTTTTTTTGGCTATCTCGTTTGGCAGGAGGTCAAGCAGACCAAACATAGACCAGACTGCCCCAATTCTCTACCACAACATGTCCACACAGGCGCCACATTACTTGGTTAATCAGAGAAGGAGTACAATATGTGCAAGTTTGCACTTGGCCTTTGACAGTTCTTAACAATTTGCTTTCTATCAAACTATGTCAAACACTGTAGACTTCACACACACTCTAGCTGTATGTATACCCTGTTCAAAGGTTCATTAAAGGGAACGGATCAATTATGTCTAGGTCATGCGGTCGAGAACCACGAATACCTCAACATTGTCAATTTATCGATCAC